CAAACTAGGTGTCAATAGAGACTTGATACAAGTGGCTGAAGTGTTGTATATAGAAGAAGGGAAAGATGGGGAAGACTTGTAACAGGAGTTTGGGAGTGGTTTATTTGAGCCTGGAGAAGCCATTCTGAGCTAGAAAGGTAGTTTGGCAGATGGGCCATGAGATGCAGGAGAAGCTGGAATGTGCTACTCAGTTCTAGCAGCTAAAGCAGGGGTGGGCAAAATGTGGCCCAGGGGCCACATGTGGCCCACCAGGCCATTCTATCTGACCCATGGGTCTCCCTCAAAATTAAGAAAATTAGTATTTATCTGCCCCTGGCTGCCTGTCATGCGACCCTTGATGGTTTGCCAAAACTCAGTAAGCGGCCCTCTGCCTGAAATAATTGCCCACCCTGAGCTAAAGGCACTCAGCAGTTGGATTACCTTGCAGCAATCTCATGAGTGCCCAACAGAGGGAACCCAACCACACTGGAAACACATAACATGGTAGTATGCTTTAATAAATGCATGGATCTAAACTGAAATAAATACAGCTGTCACAAATGATGCACGGTTCCTCGGTGGCAGAGGAAAAGAATAGGGAACTAAGAAGTGAAGAGGAAGTTTGTGTTTGGTGTTACTCTGGCAAAACATGTTCAAAACACCATGCCAATGTTTGTATGTTTTAAATTCTCAAGTTAGATCCATTTCTTTCCTGTTTCATAGCAAAACAATAGAGAATATGACTCTTGCCTGTATACATTATTTCTGGGTCAGCCTCAGAACGTTTATTGTAGTAAAAATGTCATAACCAAAGTCCAAATCCAACTAACTGTTTTTTGCCAGCTTGCGATGAGAGTGATGCATTAATATTTCACACAAATGTATTCAGAGTAACCATGCCTTTAGGTTTACAGATGTTTACTGAACCGTTAAGGGACAGTCTACACTGCTTCTGTGGTACTCCTGAGAGTACCTCTGAGAAGCTTGTACTGCATACCTGTACAACTTAAAGGAAACAGATTTTTAATTGTTTGACAATGTAAATATTAAGTTTAGGTACATTTAAGGCTCTTCTGGACTGAGATGCAATGCTCCTGAGCACACCGCAAAGGGCACAAGTGTTCACCCCTGCCACACCTCAACACGAGGCAGCAAACTACATTAAGGTCATCCGCCCTGCCCCACCCAAACAAGCCAAAATGCTCAAGAGCAGCAGCAGGGATGCCTTCTGCACAACTCTACTGCCTCATTTCCAGATTTGAAAGCTGAGAGCGGAGGGGCCGGGGGCCACAGCCAGCAGCACTCGGTGGCCATGGCGGGGCCTATGTGACACTAACCACGGGGCCTGGGGCAGTCGTGCCAATTCGCATCCCAACCCCAGGGACGGCCCTGAACATGTAGACACACACGTACAGACAGGAACTGCCCAACAGATAAGTGTGGAGGGGAGGGTGGGGAGAGGGAAGGGGTGGAGTGGGGGCAGATTGAGACCCCCGTGGTAAGAGAGGGAGTGGGGCAGGGTTTGGGGAAGATTGTGGGACAGCTGGAGGTGGCTTGTCAAGGGGTGTAGGGCGACGCAGCTCCCCACTGCTGCACACACCCCAGGGGAGGCTTGCGGGGTACATGTCCCCCAGATTTGTGTATGGGATGGAGGTGGGCTGTCCTCTGCAGGCTGGAGCTCTGTGCCTCACTGCCTTTGCCCCAGGAGCCGTGCACCAGCTGAGCATCCCTTGCCTGTGCGGTGGTGGGAGGCACAACACGGACCACTGCCAGGAGATACTGTCCTCCTGAGTACTCACCATACATAGCTGTGGTAGTTTTTTTAGGGTGTAACAAGACTAAGAGAGCAATAGATGCAAATTATTTGTAAAGAAGGATTTCACAAGATGTTTGAGAGAACACATTCTTTGCCTTAGAGAAGAAATGGAAGTAGTATAAACCCCGTTTCTGTGCTGTTGCTTTCTTTGGTAGTTGGTATTCTGGACGTTGTAAAAATTGTAGTAAACTACATGGGATTTTTAACAGAATAAAGAATAGTACTGTTCACAGGATGCTCATTAACACATCTTTACTTTACCAGTGATCTTTATTTTTTTCAGCCTTAGGCCCCAAATCATACTCCCCTTCGCTCTTGCTCCTCCTCTTTCTCAAGCCACATTCATTCCCCTCCTTGTGACTTCAAATAGTTTAAAAATATCTTGGCTGTTTCAGCCAAGAAACCCAAAATGTTATAATGCACAATCATGTGCAGTTTTTCTTTTGAAGTTCATTGTATAGAAAGATAGTGTTTTAAAACATATAAATAATTTTTACATGTATTTACATGCCCTTATTTCAACTTATGCATTGAGGATTTCTCAAGAATATGCAAGAATATGCATTTTCAGTAAGTCTGTTTGTTGCAACAACGTATGTCTGATAACCCTTACAGTTGCAAAGAACCTAAAACCAATTATTTTTTTAAAGAAAGTATTTCCCCTGCCCTCAATAAAACAAGCTACTTGGAATCATCTTTGGCTCATATTACCAAAAATTGAGAACAGTTGCTTTGGAAGGATATAATTTGAGTCAGTAGTACAGATTCTTTTTAAAGGTTGCCTTTTTTATATATTTCTGTTTAAAGCAAGTGCAAGATTGATGTAATGATTAGTAAAGTAGTGAATATCAAAATGTCTGAATATCTAAATTTGAGTAATTATGTAGTTTTCTTCTTGTAGCCCAGGCCTTTCCAATTTTGTTTGGATTGCTATTCTTGCGGCGTTACTTTTTCTTTTGCAGCATTGTGCACTAGTATCTGAGAAGCTGAAAGCTAATATGACTATGTACACTGTTTAATCCGAGTGAAGCACACACAAAAAAGAAAAGAAATAGCGGAAGCGAAATTGGAGATAAGACTTCCAGTTTTAATGACCTATCATTAAATGACCTAATGTACTATCACTAATACATAACTAAATTTTTAAACTCAGTTTAATCTAAACTAAAAGAGAGCCCCTTGAAGCTTGTAACATTTTTCCCCCTTTTTCAGTATTTCTGTTGGAAATCCAAGTACTAGTCACTATTTGACTCAGTCTGCTTTTAAAATACAATCTCTGTACAACCAGCATTCTCAGTATCCATTTCTCTTATAAAATTTGGCTCTTGCAACAACGTCATTGGCATAATCATTCTTAGTTGTGCCAATGTCCATTCTCTCATAGCTCTGAACGTTCTTAGGCCCTGCATTATAGGCAGAAATCCCACCTGAAATTAAAATAAAACAAATACTTATGAGAAACTTTTTCTTTTGTAAGAAAACAAGAACAATTTCACCTCTGAAGTTCCTTCCTTTAGTGCGCAACTCTTTTGAGCATATCTAATATTACATACAGAACTTATTTTTATGAAGTGCCATTATCTGTGAAGAAAGCTATATATAAAATATGCTCTTCACCATTTTTTACTGAAAAGCAGTAAACATGATTTGCATTTATTTATGTGCAGATTTGACATGAACTAAGGCAGGTGCACTTGTGGACCAGATCCAGCTGCTGGTGCTGGGTCATCCAGCTCATGGGGCTCCCTGCATGGAACCCCCACGAGCTGTGGTTGTGCATGCTAGATCAGGAGCACAGGGTGACATGGGGCCCCAATTGCAGCACACAGGGCCAGGCAGAGGTGGTATAGAGCCCCAATCCTGGCTTGAAGGGCCAGGCAGAGGCAGCACAGGGCCCAATCCAACCTGTGGACCACCCCCACTCTACTCATGTGGCCTGTGGAGCTAAGACAAACTCTACCAAACTAAGGAATGGGATTTTGTTGCATGAAATATTTTGGAGCCAATAGTTTTGTACCTTTTAGCTGTTGTTCTCTCTTCCATTGTGGGAATTTCTTCTGGATCTCTTTTATCATCCCACACAAAATCTCTGTACCTTGCGTAATATGCTCTTCACTGTCCCATGTACCAACAATTTCATGGTGTCGTTTATCAACCTAGAAGAGTCAAGGAAGAATATCCTGGCACCAAAAGATTTTTTTTTCAAGGGTTCTTTATGGATTTTAGGGATGTACAGGCTGTGTTCATTTTTACAGTTCTCTGTGAGCAATGTTTTCACTTCTTTTTCCTGCAGTCACGGAATTGGCTGATGTGCGGAGAGATAAGGGTGAGTCTGGAGCACTGGCACATTGTGTAAAAGATTGTCGGAATGTGGGCAGGGCCTGTTTGGGAATCCTGCTGATGAGGGTAAAATGTGGCCAATGGAGTAGGACATGAATACAGAAATGAGCTCTGGTTTTCCCTGCCTTTTTGCCAGTGGCATTTTGCAGTGCATGGGGAAGAACTTGTCTAAACGCACTTTTAACGTAGCTGCAGCCTGAGCCTCTGAGCTTAGTGAACCGTTTCTGGTAAGGTACTGTACTCTGAAGCAGGAACAACAATAAATCAGATCCTTTCCTTTCTAGGCAAACCAATGCATTCTGGGAAGCAGACAGTAGCTGTAATGCAATGCATTATCTCCAGGCTCTTGCCCGCAACCTGGATTCCCCCTGCTATACTGGGGATCAAGAAGAACATCAGATTTATACCTGCCAAGGGGCACTCCACATACTGGTTGTCCTTGAGGGGCATTAGTCCCTTTAGGCAGCCAAAGCAACACGAACTGTTGTATGGTAAAAGAAAATCTAGCTTAATTTATTTCACGTAAACACCAAACCATACAACTCAAAAATGTGGAACGTGGCACTATTAACTCACATTATGCTGTACTTCATCTTCTCCAACACTTTGTCTCTAGGCTGTACCTCAAGCAAGGATCAACTTCTGTGTCTGGAAAGTGACTAACCCATTCAGGGTGCCAATTACAATGGTCAGGTCACTATTTATAGTTCTTATGGGGAGGAATTAGCCAGACATGCTGTTTTGGGGCATGTTAATACAAAAGGCTAAATTTTTGCTCAAGTTTTTGGCACCAGGGTGGAGATGACCTGCAAAGCAAAATCCTCATAATTTGTTATGGTTCTTTCTGACACAAAAGAGATGGCTGCAGTTTTTGAGTTTGCTGATAAATACCTGCATTAAACCAAATCCGTTTCCTCTGTCACCCCAGCCGTCCTTCAGGACTATTCCACCATGAGACTCTCGGGAGATGATAGCAGCAATCAGAGCTGGATCTACACCCAGTTTTTTACCAACATTCTTAATCTTGGTTTCATATTTTTGCAGATTCTTTAAATCTCTTTCAGCAATCTTTTCTGAAGCAGTCACTCCTGTAGTAAATGTAAATGCCATTTTTTTTTGTTTCAAAGAAGTTGGGAGGTACTCCTCCAAAAGACAACAATATGGCTACATTTAACATTTAAAAACCCTTATAATCTATATAGATAGAATTAGTAATTAGTAATCAGCATCCATCCATGGCTGAAAAAAGTGCCTAAATCTAGGCATAACTATAAATTAATTCTAGAATATAGGAAATTTCAAATGGAGATGGCAGTGTTTTGGCAGGGGTGGCCAACCTAAGTGCCACAAATGGCATGCAGGAGATCAGGGAGAGGACAAGCAGCACAGCAGTAGATAGGATAGGAGGAAGAAAGCAAGGAAGAAGATTGGGCAGGAAGCACAGTAGGGAGCAAAAAAGCAGAATGGCAGAGCAGGCAGAGGAAGGGTATTGGAGTGGCATGCAAGGAGGGTTCAAGGCTAATTTGTGCCATGGCTGCTTACCATCCCCCATTCTATATAACATGGTGATCTTAGAAATAAGTAGGAATTGTCTTCACTCCAAAACTTTATGCTACAAAAGGTTTAATTATCTTTGGTGTAGACATATTTGGGAGGCAATGCACAAAAATAATAGCTCAGAGTACAGGGGACTCTCTCAAAGAACAAGAGAAAAGACTGCTGCACTTGGAATTTGGTCCCTAAGACTTTGGGTATTTCTCAGATTGTTCTGAAGATTCCCCAGAACACCTCAAGAGCACCTTTTTGTAAATACAATAGAAATGAATTGTACAAGTCAAGTTTGATTTGTTGAAGGGAAAAGAAACATCTCTCAGGAATAATTAAAAGTTAAACATATTTATTTATAATATGCATTTACCAGTGCTCTAAAGCCAAATAATGCCTACCTCCATAGCTTAGACCTTCTTGTTTTCCAGTTTCAATGGAAGCCCCAGTTGTATCAACATCCATTAATTTACCGTAGTGTTCAGAAAGGTCTAAGTGGAAGCATGGATTAGAATCAATAGATTATACATATCATGAATATATTCTGAGTTACATCTGTGGCTCACACTTATCATTGATGGGAAACTTGTAATTAGGCAATATTTATGTGCTTATCCATGATAGAAGGTGCCTTACCTATCAGCAAATTCAATGTGAGGCATTATAATGTAATTTATTTGTAATTTACCCAACTATACCTATGGACTAAGCAAACCATTTCAGAATATGATTAAAATACACATATGCACAAACACAATTCTTCATGAACAATGCTAAATTTAACTCAGTAAATTATTGGGAGACTGATCTCTTGCTCCAGTGCTACAAAATTGTTAGACAAATATGAAATACCTGACATGGTTGCTTGATGATCTGCGTTTTTCTGCTCCTGGGTCTCCTAAAGAAACAAACATGCAGTTTTAGTTTCAATATGAGTAATCTGCCCAAACAAATCAGTTCACTTCCCCAAACACTGTATATTTTTAACATTAAACAACAATACACTTTACTACTTGCTGTTCAGCTCATCCAGAGAAATAAAATGAGATTTGTGCTCTAAAACTATGATCATTATTTATCTACTTTTAGTTGAGTACTTTCCTGCAATCTTAACAGTTCAGAATTAGGAGGAGCTTGACACAAGCTACCTACTCTCTTCAGGGGTTGGAAGTTACAGGGGGAAACAGGAAATTGAATTTATGCAGAATGGATTTTGCCGAGTAAGCCGTGTGAAACAATATCATTGCAAACAATTGCAACCACTCAGCACTTGGATGTGCAGAGAAATTTACCCCCTGGCCAGCTACACTTCTGCTGTTAGTAGAAACAATGAAGATTAATACACAAATCCAGACTAGGATACAGGGTGTTTAAAAAACTCTGTAACTCTTCGCTAACAAGTAAAAAGTTAACTGCATGGCTGGACAAACCTATTGTTTTTAGTACTGTACTTATTTGCAGGGATTGTGGTTTTCTCTGATTAAAAAAAATCCCCAATTTTTGGATTAAAAAAGTAACCCCAAACCCACATTTTTCTGTGATTAAAATAAAACACCACTACATATATATATATTTATATAGCATAAACCAATTTAAAAAGTAACCCAAAATCACATTTTTCTGTGATTAAAATGAAACACCACTATATCTATCTATCTATCTATCTATCTATCTATCTATCTATCTATCTATCTATCTATC